AGAGTGAACGAGATCGAATGAAACAATCGCGAAAAAGGGAGTAATACTCTTCAAATAAGCAGTATTTGGAAATGGGGGCCGTCAACGGTATCATCTAGAACAGTTCATGTTCTGGCAAAAAAGTCAATCTACCTCGATACCATTCCGAATTGGAAAGATGACTACTTACCAGGACCTAGGACTTACCTTCAGCTTTATTTCCACCGGGATTAACTTGCTACATCTTCGCAGAACCAGCAGCTTATTATCCGGCAATCCTCGCCCCAACCATGGACAAACTCGTCCGGGCATGATGCCCGCGAGTATCTTGCCGCCCAAGATATCGAGTATGGCGGAAGACGCTTTCCCGAAGCAGCCCATGGAGACCAAGGATCTCTGCTGTACCCCTAGTATGCCAATCACCCTGTTCGATCGACCTTCTTAGTCCTTTTGTCGATCTCGATGCCCGTAGGACGAAACTCGGCCACTGGCTAGCAGCTTACGCTGGACGAAGCGTAGACTCTATGGACCTCGATAGATCTATGTCCCGGAAATGCGTTGTGCTGAGGTTTCAGAGTCAAGAAAATCGCCATGGATGCTTCGTAGCTGAAAAGGTCGAACATTGTCTCGGAGACAGCTTCACGAAGGTCATGCACTTCGATGTCGGGAGTCTCGAGGATTGGTGCTCGGCTGGAGGCATTACTGCTCCTCATTCAAAGTCTTGGTTTGACAATGTTGCCCAGAATTCCCTCGTCGTGGAGTCGCCGCAAGCTGTCCCTTGTCCTCGAGACCCGGAGGTGCGGCGGAAATGGGAAATCGCCTGAACACTATTGGCTGTCAGTAAAGTTTCCTCAGAACACTCCTGCACGTCTCTTTCCGTGATTTTGGATGAAGATGATGATATGGGTGTCCGGTGCGTCAAGTGTGGATGCAAATTTACTCCTCCAGTCGCCATATACCCACAAGGAGTAGCATCCCGTCCCGCGGCCTCCTCAGCCTGCCGTCTATGGATCAGAGCGTACCTGCATGTTCCCCTCCTGATCACTGGCGGAGAAATAGAGGTTCTCCCATGAGGCTACAGGCGAGTATGTTGGTGTCTCGGCTTGGTGTTGAATCGCCGCCGCACGTCCCTCCCTGTGTCGACGGGCAGAGGTGAAGCCGCTTGTAGGGCTCTCATCAGCTTGTCATCCATCTCTCAGTGTATCTCCGTGAATCCTGCTGCTCATGGTGAGGGCAATGATCGAGGTTGTGTTGTGGTTGGAGAGGCGGAGGAGAAAGCTTTGCCGCCTGGTGGGGTTGTCGATGTGGGCAGCGGTGGCCATCTCACCCCTGAGGTGGGAGTTTGGACCTCCGAGACCTTTATCATGGCCGCTGTATCTTCTCACTGGAACTCGTCTTGTCTCAATGAGCGGGTATGGTGAAAGGAGTCGGTGTTGGTAGAGGTTGATGGTGTCCGAGGTCATGTAGGAAGAGCTCGCCGAAGAGTTTCAAACAAACGCGAATGGGACAACACCAAAGGAGAGTCCCCATTCTGTACTTCCAACGCAGCTCCTATTCCAGCAGGTCACTTCCCAGGCAGGTCATATCACATTAGGGGAGCCTGCGGTATCTAGTGCTTTGAGCAAGAATCCGAGCCAAAGTCGGCTAGCCCAACAAATGAGTATCTATGGTTTCGCCCTATCTACTGCAACGCCAGCTCACTCCGAGCTATGCCATACGCTCGCGCTTCTACGGCCACCATAAGCCTCCTGGGCAGCTGTCGAGGAGACCCGCTCTCCTATACGCCGTCCCTGTGAGGCTGCCCTGTGAAGAGCTCCCAAACTCCGCCCACTTTTAAGGTCGACAAATCCAGAGCTTGCCAGCCCTGCTGCTCTACGGTATATGGTCCAATGCAGAAACACAGGCGCAAATCAAGATACTGGGCTGTCTAAGTTAAGTGCAATGCATTCACCGGCTTCGTTGTTGTGCAGTAAGAGTGCATCGATGCCGAGAAACTGGGTGGCAAGGGTATTTTCGATGTTATGAAGGCAATCTCGAAGTCACATACGGGTAGCATTGAGTCATTCTCAAGCATTGCGGCATATCAACCTTGAAGCTCGGTGCCCTTGCATTCCCGAAAGGCTTTCATACGCTCCGCCGAGTGACATCCGGATGTCCATGGACTTCGGATGACTGCGTAGAGGATGCGTTAGAATATCCTAGCTGTGTATCATCGGGGATGTTTCCCACGGTGATCTTGCTAAACGTCTGCGTATTCGACCGCGCCTACTGCTGCATACAGACTCAACCGACGTCTTCAAGGATCGTGCAAAGGCATTGAGAGAAACGGGTCCTTAGAGGAGAACTAAGCTGTTGCTCTGGAATTTTCGGGATGCGCTACCTATCCCGCGATGCTTCCGTTCCTCCTCAAGTGTCTACCAAACGACTCACCACTCTAATATCCCTACGGGGCCATTTCATCAAGCTTGTCCTGCTCCTCCCACTGCCTTAACGGCGGCACGGCGGCATCCACCAGCTTTACCTCCTTCACCCCGACCCCACCATCCCCAACCACCACGCTAAGTCGTCAAGCCTCCAGCATCTTCACTTCACCCACAGCCCGAAACCTGCCCCACATAAGCGCTTATTTTCCAGCCCTCTCACCCTTAGGGATCTGGCACCTAGGCGGGCTATGTTATGGACCAGTGTACAGTTTATTGTATCATTGTACGAGTTATTGTTTGTATTTTTGCCCCGCAAAGCCCCGGGGGGGTTTCATAGTCCCGGGTGACGGGTGGGACTTCTGTGGGTTCGATTCGCGGTGGGAACTTGGGTTCTTTTTGTCATTTTGGCGGTTGGTTGGCGTTCAGAGAGGGGCGGTGGTGGAGAGGGGCTGGCGAGTGTAGAGGTGCGCTTTCCTCATATATCTAAAACTCTATAAGCACGCATTTCCCATACATTCTATTAAGGGTGTTGGTGTTTTTCAGCACGGGTCTTTGGCTGTTCTCGTCGCAGGTCCGCCTCTCGAGGTCGCTCCCAATAGTTTTCGTAGAACTGTTCATCATCGCGACTCATCCGACTTACTCGCGCAACGCGAGGAATAAGAGTCCCCTTACAGATGTTGCTCTCAGATGTGTCTACCATACGCGCTTGTTAATGTGCTGCAAGGCAGTCTATGCTAAAGACATCCTGCCGGGGAGCCTAAAGATGATAATCCTACGTCGCCAGACTCGCCAACCTCCTGATCCAACGCTGAAGGAGGCACTAGAGTAACTAGCTGGAGGCCAGAGGCTTTAGGACCTAGTTTGTCTGCAATATACGTGTGAATTGTAGGACACCTGTGTATATTCATAGTTATATAGAAAACAGGGGAGGCGAACTGCATTAAAAGACATCACGATCGATAGCAGAGACGACCATTGGTTAAGTTTCTTGCAAAGAACGTAGGGCTTAAAAGCGTGATGAGTTTGTACTAAAATGCAGTAATCACAGGGCAATAATCTAGGAAAGGTAGCATCGACTTCCTCACAGTTCGAACGGATGTAAAGGAGCTAACTATAAACCAATTGCAGGCCGCGTCAATGGAAGAGATATACAAAGCTTGATATAATATCGCTATCCTAAAGCCTGATAGCCAAAGTGAACAGCTTCTCTTAGAGAGGATGACGCGTTGTGGGCTTCGCTTTCTCTACGGCCTCACCTGTTTCTGCTCCAACTGTTTAGCGTGCTCACTCGTAAACTAGAGCATTCGCCCTACGTCTAAGATGAGAGGCTTCTTTAGCTTCCTTGATAGCCGGAGCAGTTCTTGGGTCTTGAAATCCCATGGTGGAGTAAAAGCTAAGTCTTGGCATCATGATCGAGGTCCGGAGGACCCCCAGAACCTACTTAGACAACCACCGCCCTTGCGATGTCCGTTAGGCAACACTCAGAACTCATTTTAGAAGCTTCCAGATCCTCTATCACGTGGCCAGGAGAAGGCTTGGCACCTGCTTCGTCTCGCTATAAAGCTTCGCCAGCGCCCACCAGTTTCTTTCCTCTTCACCTCTTCTTCACCTCATCACCTCTTCTCCTCCTCCTCCTCTCCTCCTCCTCCTCCTCTATCCTTACTTTTGACATCTCACCTCACTCCTCACGTCACCCACGATCACTTCACCTCACCTCACCTGGACCGCCTCCTCTTACAACATCTCGACACACAACAACGGGCCTCGCACACGACGTCATCCGGACTCGGCTGTACAGGGAGAAGTGACCTACCCTCGCGTCCATTCGCCCGACTAGGTCCTTGGTTACTTTACACACAGGCTTTGCTACGGCATCGCCATCAGAGGTACAGTCTCCGCAGACTAGGGTAACGAGCGACGGGCTTCTTCGAGGGCTAGGTCACACGGACCATGCTTGATGAACGACAGTAGCTTGCTGGTTCTTGAACTAGTCCTGTGACCTGTCCGATTCGTAGCATTGGGGCCTTGGATCGACACCGTGAGCCAGCTATCGCGCGCGGCTCTCATACCTATGTGGCAGCTGGCTTCTTCTGTGGATGGGAGTACTTTGACACCTCAGCGCGTAGCCGGTGAAGGCTCTTCTGAAGCGCTGTTAAGCACGGGCTGGCATAACTATGGTAGGCGCGTGGCTGGACCGGTGGGGGGACTGGGGAGGGTAATGGGGGAGATCCGGATCCGACTTGCTGGCCATCGACAATCAACACTCCGCTTCGACATCTCGCATCGACCTCGACTCCTCACTTCCTAGACCTGGACGACAACCCAAAACACGATACGTATACCCCCACTAACCAACCTCCCCCCAGCTTCATCCCTTGTGCTCGATGATGGGCCTATCCTAGAGCACACTGTGGTGAGAGATCTTATATAGCCTTAGGGAGGTTTTTCATCCCTGGGGGGTCCTGTCCCTAGGGGTTTTCCTCCCGCACAATGAAAACAATGAACACTACTTCGGTCAGCCTTTGCTTGTGATGCCTTGCGCTGTTTGTGGTGAGGGCTTATGTGAAGTACCTGTTTGAGCTTGACGGCTGGGACATTGCCCAGGATTCTACGTAAGTTGAAGGAAAAGTTATGCGACAAGGCGGGATGTTGGCCTTGGTGTTGACAGTTCATGAGGGGATGTGGTGCTGCGACCGCTGTAGACCATCATCGTACGGAAGAAGTACTAGGATGAGGAGTGCAGAAGGGCGACACAGGCAAAAAGAAGCTATGATCCTAAGAGAAACAACAGTAACAAAAACCCTAGAATAAACAGAAGATAGAAACCACGATTTTCAAGCACCTCGTGATGTTAATTATATACTAGAAAGCAGAAACTATCCACAGTAGTAGAAAAGCCTACCACCATATCTCACCACCTACACCTCCTACCTACTCCTCCCGCCTCTCCACAAACCCCCTCACCCCCATCAAGCCCAGCCAAACTGCCTCTTCCGTTCTAATAGTCCGACTGCCCTGCCCCGGCACTAGATTGACCCACTGATCAAACACCTCCCCAGCCCTCTCCTTTGTCACCCCTCTCTCCGCAAACTCTTTATCATTCGCAATCGCCGCCTCGATCCCTGCAACACCGCCAAAGACCAGTAACAAGTGTTGATAATCCCCCGGCAGCGCGGCGGCCTTGCCGTTGCGTGGTGGTGCCAGCAGCTCCGAGAGCGCCACGCCCCGCTCCGACGTCCCGATACTGATATCGTACCCGCCCTCAAACGGACACTCGGTGAAGACGGCGGAGAGGGAGGCGCACCGCCGTGTCGTGTAGCCCCAGAAGTACCCGGCCTCTTCGCGGGGCGCGGCGGGCGAGGTGGCCTCTGTGCCTAGTGCGGAGGGGTTGGTGTAGAGCTCAGGGAGGGTGGGAAAAGAGGCGGGCGAGGTCGCGGAAGCGAATTTGAGCGTTACGCGGGTGTTTGCGGGGATGTGGTCGGCGATACTGACGGGGGAGGGGAAGCCACAGTCGATCAGCGAGCCGGTACTGCTGGCTGAAGACTTCTTACTGGAATCCACTTTTGCCTTTTTGGCGTTTGGGTGGAGGGAGGAGGAAGTGTTTGGGGGCACGACGACACCTTCGCGATAGCGACACCATTCGTCCGCTTTGAAATGGTGCGGCATGTCGAGGCTGGGTAGCGCGCCCGCGCCGCGGAGGTTCGGGTGTATGGGGAATAGGTACTTGCGGAGGTGCGGTGGGGTCTCGAGATAAGAAAGGATGTGGTAGAGGAACTGGTTTGGGTCTTGCCAAGGCTCGTCGTCAGGTCGGATGGGATGGCCGGGATTGCGAGGCGTTTTAATTATAGATTGGCCGTCGTCGAAAATGATGACTTCGTCGACGCTGAAGACAGCACAGGCGCGGGCAATGGTGCCAGCAAGGGAGATTTTCAGCTCGTAGGTTTGGGCGCTGGGGGAGAATATTAATGACCGTGATGAAAGTCCAATGTTGAGAGAGGGAAAAAAGACGATGAAGTGATTGAGAAACAGATATTCGACACATTTCTGAGGATGAAAAACTAATGATCTATTCCGAATCAAGAAACAAACGAGAACACATAGCTTGATAAAAGAAGTAGATTAGAACCTACTTGCTAATTACACTTCCCGGCAATGCAATACTCAACGTATGCTCTCTCCCCTTCTTCGGCTGAAAAACAGCCGTGGGCTTCGACGTGTCAACTCCACTGGTTGCATCGCCTTGATGAAGGACGACATTGCGCTTCCTCTTCTGCACACTCGTTAGCACCTTTTCAAGCCCCCCTCGCTCTATTAGAATGCCTTACCTTCGTGTTTGTAGCCATCTCAATACCACCCAACGTTGTTGATTCGGACCACGCGCGACTGACGTTGAAATTATAGACTCCTCCAGCGCAGGACTCAGCACGGCGCGCAGAACGAGGCACGAACGCGACTTCGCCTCAACCTCAAATCTCACTCCCGCGCCGCAATCCTCCACTCTTCATGTCTTCTAACAGCCTCTCCACCTCCCCCAACCCAAACCAACCCACCAATCGAAAACCATGACCACAGAAAAAACCCCCCAAGCCCCCGCCTACGTCTCCAACGGCGAGATCGCCGCAAAACCTCTCCGCGCCCGCATCTCCGGAATCGCAGATTCGGCGTTTATATTCGTGATGCTCTATCTCACGACTCTGTTCTCTGTACGTCTTCTCGAAATCTGCTCTCAGCTGCTCGACCTCCTTTATCTCATACTTCCTGCTACGAGCTGCTTTCCCATTGCCTCTGCCTTCTCTCACATCACCCCACCACCCCCCTCAACCACCCACTAATCCCAACAGACCGACACCTACGCCGCCGCGCTCGGCTCCCCCTACCGCCGTTCCACCTCCGCATCTACGCTGCTCCGCCCGTCAGGCGTACGGGACACTCCTTCGCCATACGGGCGCCTGACTGGGACACCGCGCGGAGGCGGAGGAGGAGGGTCAGGAAGCATGGCACGGGTGAACGGGGACGGGAAAAATCTGAGGCTGATGGCGAGCACGGGGTGTGGGGCGTGTGGGTGAGGAATGAGGGGATGAAGGAAGCGTAGGGGTCCAGAAGGGCAGACGACAGGTACTTTCTACGCGCGCCGGACACCATCCGCACAAAATGGCCGGGTCGGGAAGTTGCGGTGCTGCGGCGTGGGCGATGCATGAATGAGAAGTCGATGGAGAGCGTGGCACTAGGAGTGAGCTCCTGAGAACGAGAGACGATGTAAAATCAAGAGTTTGAGTTTGGTTGAATTCTTAGCAAGCGGAGATCAGAGATTCCAATGAACAAGCATATATTCCCCATTAACAACCACATCCCAGTACCACTGCACCCGGCCCGCTGAACCGGAAAATAAATCCACAAGATATCAGACTGCCCAAGAATAATCATACAATCGCCTCAGACCCCGCTGACGCGATGCCGGCGTCGCCACTCCAAGGGCTAGAGACCAGTACCCAACGACAGCTCCACAGACGCGATGCCCGTCGCTAGCTGTGGCGCACCGCCTTAAAAGAACCCCACCAAACTCGCGAATCGACTTAGGTGAAGGCTAATCCTCGTCAAAGATCTGATACACGTTGTCCAGAATCGTAACGATGACTCTAGCCTGTAGCCCCGAGTCCGCAATCTGGCCCCGGTGCTGGCCCATTATCGTCGGTCTGTAATTCGTGAGGTTAGCAAACCATTCTGTGGTTCCGGCAATATTGGGCTGACTTACGCGAAACAAATGCCGAGATTGCTTGTGCTCATCCGATTTGCCTGGGAGTGCTCGTTCACGCGGTTGAGATGCAGAACGAGCGCTCGTAGAGTCGCGTAGTTTGGGTCTGGAAGTGCGTTGATGATGGCGTGCATTGAGTCTCGGCGGACCGTGTCGTCGTCAATCCCTAGAAATGGTCAGTCCTCTCACTCGTAAAGAAATATGTGAGAAGGATATGACTTACGAGCGGCGTCAATGAACTCAGTGTAATGCTCCGCCGTCAACAGCGGGTCAGGTAAATCGCGGAAGAACTGCTTGAGCAGCCCGGCGACGCTGTTAACATCGTGGTGGAAGGTTTCCGGGTTACGGAAGTCCACCTTGGATGCATCTGTGGAGGTCAGCAAGGCTGTTACCAGTACGCGGAGCGGAACAAAACCACAATAATGAGAGAGTGTTATACCATTGTCGAATAGCGCCTTCATTGCTGTGATGTGCGACGAAGTGCCGGGTATGCGGTAAATGCCTTCAAGATCCAGGCCAAAAAGGTCGACACCTTGGATACATTGATATACTACCATAGGCACGGGCGTGCCGTCTCTCCTGAACAGATCGTCCAAGGTGATGCCAAATACAGGCTTCACAGGAGGTAGGTTGCCATAAGACACTGCAGCGTTTTGAGGTGGCTGCTGATATGGTGATGGGGCCGCAGCTGGAGCTGAAGCGTACGGGCTCGAGGAAGATTGGGGATAAGAGGGAGCATAAGAAGGTTGCTGGGCAAGCCCTCGGTCATAGAGCGAAGCTTGGTGTGGTGGGGGTTGCTGGTAGCCAGAATTGTACGGCTGCGACTGGGAGAGTGGTTGAGTAGCCGGCGGTGCTTGATGAATTCCAAGTTGCATTTCAGGAGATTCCGGCGTCTCTGGCTGAGCAACAGAGAATGATGGCGGAGGTTGGTTAGTCTGCATTGACAAAGACTGTCGCGGCTGCGCGGGTTGCGCTGGTGGGATCGGCTGTGCCGTTTGAGTGACGAGAGTCTGGTGTATGAGTTAGAGCTGATGATAGAGGCCTGGAGAATTGGCTTACCGGATGCTTGACATATTTGTAATCCCCTTGCTTCGCCGGAATTTTCCCAGTGTGACTCGTGACAAACTGGTGGAAGTCCTTCTCGTTGTCGATTTTGAAGACTATCTCCCGTAGACTTGGTGGTAGGTTGCCCGCAGTCTCCCCAATGTTGACAGGGCTGACAGCCATGCCGTTGTTCAGCAGCAACTTCTCGTTGAAAGCAACTATGTCATGTTAGCTATAGTCATCCAGAAGATGGGATACAGACTGACCGAACTTCTGAACCTGTAGCGTCAGAGCGGAGTCGCACTCGGTGACCAACTCCTGCACTGCCTTCACAGCCTGCGGCCGAGAAGTAGACACAAGCTCCTGCCTCTGAGCTTGGGCAGCTTGCACCTTTGCCAGATAGTCTGCATCCGCTGCTTGGACCTTTCGCTGCAGATCCTCCTCGTGTTGCGCTGTTGACTTGGGCCCTTTGATGCCAAACTTCCTGCCTGCCCCAGCGTCGCCAGTCTTGACCCGGTCGTAGTCGTTGGCCAATGAATCATACTTGGCCTTGGCCTTCTCCATGATCTTCTCCGCCTCTTGTACTCGCGACTCGGCGGCCAGGCCGGTTTGTTTCCACTGCTTCCTGCCACGCTCCATGGTATTTGACAACTCGGTGAGGTCCTCGTGCATCTGGTGGAGGGAAAGGCCAAATTGGGAGCCATTCTCAGCCATGCGCTCGTTGACCTTCATGACCTCTTCCAGCTGGCGAGCATAGCTGCCATGGCGGGCATCCTGTTTGCGGATCGTCTCGAACGTGGAGCGGCATAGTTTCTTGAGTCCGTTGGCGTGCTCTTCTTCCAGAGCTCCTCGGCGCTTTAAGAAGACTGCGAAGTCTTTGGCGCTTGCGATGCTTTGTTTTAGACGGCTGAGCAGAGTGTTCACTCCAATCTAAGTGAATTAGTTTCCCGCTTCCAGTGAATGCGGAAAGATTCCTTACATCTGAAAACAAGACTTCGTCTACAGCCTTGAGCACACTCGGGTCTGGTTCAGTCTTCTCCGGCGCCAGGACCGGGGGCGCAACGGGGGATGAGGGTGAGACTGCTGTCGCGGGCGGAGCTCCATCCGCGACGTGGCCATTGCCGTTGCCGTTGCTGTTGCCGTGGCCGTTGGTTGCTGGGTTGGCGAAACTGTCTGAACGGAAGCTGTCGGCGCCCATTTCGATGGGTGGGAGGCTCGGCGGGTTTGCGGCCATGGTTGCAGGTGCGGCGGCGGGGAGGACTGCAGCTATGCGGTGGGGAGTGAGACTCGCAGCGGACACGACGCTCGGGGACCTCGCGAGATCGACCAAGTCTGGAATCCAGCAACGGCACGACCGTGACGCCACCAGCCACTGAGGTGTCATCGGCACGTGACTACACTCACCAGCCACGGTGGCGCCGGAATATCAGAAACACCGCAGGCGCGCCAAGCCCAACCTCTCTTCAATATCGTTCCCGCAAGTCGCAGCAGCACCCTCGACCGACGCCCGCCCCGAACCTCCCTCCGAAATCCCTGCTGCGCTGCCGTTCGAACCGTCCCAATTGACACCACCGAGGCCTCTGCGGAAGAAGCTCGTCGGCGACGTTGACCGCTCTCCCGCTGTGAAGCCACGTTTACTCCCCGCCCTCGCTCCCACAATTCCTCTACTCGGGGCCACGGCACGGGTAGCCTGCCACACGTCGAGTAATTCGTTATCCAAGCGGTACTGGGGCGCCCCGAAACCCGAGATCACGCTGCGACCAGCCCCGCGAGCTCGACAGGACGAACCTCTCGAGCGTTTGGGGCTCACGCCGCCATCATGAGCTACAACAAGTATGTGGAATGGGAGAAAGGATAATACAGGAATGATGCTGAGACTGCAAACAGGAAAGATGAGGATGGGGGGCAGATTGTTGCTGGTAGGTTCTTACCTGTTATTCTGGTTGAGCCGCTGGTGCTGACGTTGGGTAGTGGACAAGACGTCGGTCTTCCAAGAAGCGCGAGTCTTCAATGCGAGTCCCATAAGGTACTTCAACCTCCTCACAAGCACCTTCTTATATGCTAATTGCTTCATGCAGTCCACGAAAATGTCGAATCGTATGACCATTCGCTCCCACGACTTCCTACCAGCATCGCTCACCGAATGCAACAGATACTCACAAAGTTGGCGCTGCTGTTATTTACAGGAGAGAACTTTGCTAGGCAAGAGTCGACCACCCTCTTCTTCGGCATCTCGAAGCTTTTCCAGAACCGCGATGCATCTCTGTAAGCTTCTTGTCTCCCATTCACCAGGCTTTCACTGACAATGTGGACTACAGACGACAAATGGTGTACTGTGAGTGCCAAACTACCACTCAATGTGAAACGATCGCTGACTTTCGATAAAGTGGTTATTAAGGAGCTCGCTGCCTCCAGCGACGATGTGATAATGGTCACGAGGTACGATATTGAAGCGAAGAACTTCCTCATACCCGCTCTGCCTCTATTCCGCGTCGCATCACTACATTCGCGCGAAATGTCTTCCTTCTTTTGATTGTCCGACAACGCTTTCGGCGGGATTCATCAAGGAATATGCGTTGACATCATGTTACAGTTCCATCATGAAAGACACAGCCGTTGGATCAGACGTTGTTTTCAGGCCGAACGCTATTCGCGCCCTATGCAGAGTCATCGATGCGTCTACAGTTCAAGGTTTGTATTCTGGCCAATCCTCATAACTAGCTAACGCCAATGCTGATTTCTACAGCAATTGAACGTCTCATCAAAACAGCAATCGTCGACAAGACGCCTTCGGTGTCTTCGGCCGCTCTAGTTTCCTCATACCATCTTCTTCCAGTCGCTCGAGACGTGGTGCGAAGATGGCAGAGCGAGACCCAGGAAGCTGCATCGTCATCGAAGTCTTCGGGTGGCTTCAGCCTGGGTTTCGGAGGGAGCAGTCATACTACCCTTCAAACCTCATCAAATGTATGTATCTCAGATCTGTGGGCCTTATAAGCAAAACCTAACGTAACTAGTACATGACCCAATACCACGCAATTGGCCTCTTGTACCAGATGCGGTCCGGCGACCGCATGTCCTTGGTGAAGATGGTCCAGCAATACTCCGCGGCTGGTGCCGTGAAATCGCCCGCCGCTACCGTCCTATTGGTCCGACTTGCAGCAAAGCTGGCAGAAGACGATTCAAATCTGCGGAAACCTATGATGACCGTTCTGGATGGATACCTGCGACACAAGGCCGAGATGGTCAACTTCGAAGCTGCCAAGGCCATTGTCGACATGAGGGATATTACTGATGCTGAGCTTGTTCAGACCGTCCATGTTCTTCAACTTTTCCTCACGTCTCCACGCGCTGTGACGAAGTTTGCGGCTCTCCGTATCCTGTCTACTCTGGCTTCCTTCAAACCAGAAGCTGTGCGAACATGCAATCCCGACATCGAAAGCCTCATAACGAACAGCAATCGTTCTATCGCAACTTTCGCCATCACAACGCTGCTGAAAACCGGCAACGAATTATCGGTAGACCGTCTCATGAAGCAAATTAGCGGATTTATGTCGGAAATCACCGATGAGTTCAAGGTCACCATCGTTGAGGCGGTTCGGACATTGAGTCTGAAGTTTCCTAGCAAGCAGTCCGGATTCTTGGCCTTCCTCAGTGGCATTCTTCGGGACGAAGGCGGTTACGAGTTCAAGCGGGCTGTCGTCGAAGCCATCTTCGATTTGATCCGATTCGTGCCTGAGGCCAAAGAGGACGCGTTGGCAACGCTGTGCGAGTTCATTGAGGACTGCGAGTTCACCAAGCTGGCTGTCCGGATTTTACATCTCCTAGGACGAGAAGGCCCAAGTACTCCACATCCAACGAAGTATATCCGATACATCTACAACCGTGTGGTTCTAGAGAACGCCATCGTGCGCGCGGCAGCAACTTCGGCCCTCGCAAAGTATGGTGTTGCTCAAAAGGATCCGGAGCTGAAGAAGTCTGTCAAGGTTCTTCTCACGCGCTGTCTTGATGATGTGGACGATGAGGTGCGAGATCGCGCTGCTCTAAACCTACGACTAATGGACGAGGACGATGAAATGGCGGGCCGCTTTATTCGAATGGATTCCATGTACTCTCTCCCAACCCTGGAGCACCAACTGGTTATGTATGTTACTGCCGACGGGCGGGATACATTTGCGCAACCTTTCGATATTTCCAAGATTCCTACCGTCAGCCGAGAGCAAGCCGACGCCGAAGGTCAGTTTCAACACACTATTTACGAGCTACGGACTAACAAAAATGATAGATCGCACAAAGAAGCTCACACATGCCACGCCTACTATCAAAGCACCCACAGTTGCTGGTCCGAAACCGACATCGAAAGCTGGTATCGAGGCAGCATCGGCACTGCAACAGAAGTATACAGAGCAGCTCCAAACAATCCCCGAGCTTGCGTCTTATGGTGGTTTGTTGAAGTCGAGCGCCGTAGCAGAGTCAGTACACAGCGAAAACCTATGCCATGAAATACTGACGCATGTGTAGATTGACCGAGTCGGAGACGGAATACGTTGTAAGCTGCATCAAGCATATCTTCAAAGACCATATTGTGCTGCAATATGAGATCAAGAAGTAAGATCCCCTAGTGTCAATCCCTGAATAGGTGCTAACATACAATAGCACATTGCCAGACACGGTCCTCTTAGACGTACAGATCCTTGCATCGCCCGAGGACGACGGTGATGTTCAGCTAGAAGAGGAATTCGTCATCCCAGCACCGAAGCTGGTAACCAACGAGCCAGGAACTGTATATGTTTCGTTCAAGCGGCTTGAGACTGAGTCACAGTTCATCGCAGCCTCCTTCACCAACACGCTCAGATTCACCAGCAAGGAGATAGATCCGAGCACAGGCGAGCCGGAGGATGGCGATGGGTACGAGGACGAATACCAGGTTGAGGATCTGGAACTCACTGGAGCGGATTACCTGGTGCCAGCGTACGCGGGAAGCTTCGACAACGTGTGGGAGCAGGCTGGCGCTGGCGAAGAGGCAACGGAGACGCTGCAGCTATCCAACGTCAAGAGCATCGCCGGTATGAGTCACCTTCATAAATCCACCTCTGAGCACCTTGCTAACCTGATTACTTGTAGATGCCGTTGAGCAGCTTACAAAAACGCTCTCGCTCCAGGCACTCGAAGGCACCGATGTCGCCCTCTCGCCATCGACGCACACGCTCAAGCTGTACGGTAAGACGATTACAGGTGGCAAGGTTGCGGCGACGGTCCGGATGGCGTTCTCGGCGCGCACGGGAGTGACGATGAAGATGGACGTCAGGGCTGAGGAGGAGGGCGTAGCGGCGCTGGTTGTTGGAAGTGTTGCTTGAGGGTCGGAGGATGCCTTTGATGAAAAGATGCTGTGGATGTGGATGAGGCACGAAGGATGGGATGAGTAGACGGCTGCTCGCTTAGCGGAGGGCATAATGTCTTGTGGTCTGCTGCACTGCACGGCTGGCGGCGAGTGTTTGGTAAATTAGCGCAAATGGAAAAGGGAAGCTGGTGGGTTCTTTTGCTTGCTTGCGACCCCACTCGGCATAGACACGGTGCTTGCACGTGTGGTGTCTTTGCTTGACAGTAATGTGGCAATTGCCCCTCTCGGCGCGGCGACAGCAATACCCGCCTACTCGTGCTGCAGCTAGACCCAAGCGTCTCCTCGGAACGCGAGGTCTCGTGATCTCAGACAAATGGCTACCAATAAAGCGGCTGCATGGAGGCCGTGACTGACAAGATGCTCCTCCGAGGGATCCCCGGCGTCTGTGTTTACAGCATCTGAGCTATCCCTGCATGCAACGGCGTTCAGCGGCATCGAAGAGCCGCTTTGGGTGAAACAAGCCCCAAATGCTGAAGTAAGGCACGCGGTCTGGATCGTCTCGCCGATGAGCGGCCCGCGCTGGAGTGCTGCGACACGCGTGGACGGCGATGCAGACGTCAGACGTGCTGGCCATCCCACTTTACGGCACTTGCGCAGACTGATTCACCACTCAGCGCGCTGCACTGCTCACCGTTCTGGGTGCTGCCGATGTCCGCGACGCTCAGACGCTGGTGATGCCGTCGGAAAGAGCCGCTTGATGAGCTTGGGCATTTGAGGCGTACAGCGGCAAGACCACGCCCCTTCCAGCGGCAGGCCCAGACATGTACAATATCTGCTCCACATCTGCTGATTGCCAGCCCTGACTCCGCTCTCAGCTTCTTCACCACACCTGTGCCCGACGAGCTTCCTCACTAAGCATCCACAACTCCTACTCCACCGCAGATCCTATTCGTACCTTCGCCTCGTATTCGCTGCAGATTCAATCCTGTATCACAATGGCCTCGTCTGAGATTGCGCGGGTTCAGAAGCCTGCACCGCACTTCCAGTGCACAGCCGTTGTCGATGGCACGTTCGAAGGTGGGTGGAACGCTTCTAGAGTTCTCACTCCCGTAGCTAGCTTCAGCACCACGGCCCCTCCTTCGTCCAGCACACCATTCCAACTGCTCCATTCGCTTCATATGCACTTCATACTGTCCCAATAATACCCCTTCGTCTTCGCAATTCGAACAAGAGCATCCAACTTTCATGTGCTAAACTAACCACTATCCCACAGACCTCAGCCTGACCGCCTACACCTCCACCTCCCAATGGCTCGTCCTCGGCTTCGTCCCCATGGCCTGGACCTTTGTGTGCCCCACTGAGATCATTGCGTTCAGCGACCGCGCCGCTGAATTTTCTGCCCGCGGCGCTGCCGTCGCCTTCGCGTCTACCGACTCCGAATACAGCTTACTGGCGTGGGCCAATGCCAGCCGCAAGGACGGCGGCCTGGGCAAGGTCAACATCCCGCTGCTAAGCGACAAGAACCACAAGCTCAGCAAGGCGTACGGCGTGCTGATTGAGGACGAAGGGATTGCGCTCAGAGGGCTGTTCTTGATCGATCCGAAGGGCATTGTGAGGCAGGTATGTTGGGTGCTATTCTTTACAATATAGAGCTGTATTGGACAAGCGTTGGAAATGGGTCAGCCATTGGAATTAGATCAGGAGCTAATATGCATCACAGATCACCATCAACGACCTCCCAGTCGGCCGCTCCGTAGACGAGACACTCCGCCTCATTGACGCCTTCCAGTTCACTGAAAAGTACGGCGAGGTACGTATCGCAACATACCACCAACCGTTCTGCATACCTTTACTGATGTGATTCCAGGTCTGCCCCGCCAACTGGAACCCTGGTGCCGCCACCATCAAAGCCACCCCCGAGGGCAAGAAGGCCTACAACGCGAAGACCTACTCCGACGAGCCTATGAACGGTGTTACCACCAAAACTGTTGTAAATGGCCAATAATCGCACCGCACTAACATAGGACTATAGAAGAAGCCCACTCCTTCTCTCCACCCCGCCTGCGCCGTCACCGTAGCATTAAGAGCAGCATTACTCGAAGTAAGGAGCGGTTGCGCAGGAGAGCAGCGGCTGCTGTTATGACTTTGGCGCTTTTCCTGGTTATGCATCAGAATGGGGGCGAGAAGGGGGTGTTTGAGGAGTGGAGTGAGGATGACAAGGACTCCTGAGTGTGTTGACTCGATGGCTGTATTTTAGCCTCTTGTATTTGTTGTTTTCTCTCTACTCAGCGACCATAGATATCTGTACACTTTCCTGCCACTGTCTGTGGGGCTTCAACGTACTGATAGCAACCAGGGTCAGTGGATACAATTCCAAGCTGCGTACACCCTGTTGCCGCTGTCTGGGGTAGCCTTGCAAGTCTACCAGCTGTCCAAAATGTCGTACTTCTCCTCTATTTGGAATGTTGAAATACTACGAAGCCCCTCATGCAGCGGTAGACGAGTATGCAGATCTCTATAATGAGACACTGCACAGTGCCTTGCTAAAGACATCTGTACGCTTTCCTGCCACTTTCTGTGGGGCTTCAACGTAGTAATAGAAATCGGGGGGCACCGGATACACTTCCAATCTGCGTACGACCTGTCGGCCCCGTCTGAGGTGGCTCGCGAGATTTACTGGTTGTCCAAAATATCGAACTTCTCTCTTATTTGGAATGCTGAAAATACTTTTTAAAGCTCCTCACACAGCGATAAACAAGTGTACGGATTTCAATAACAAGGTATTGTAGACGCCCGGCTTAGCTTTAGATTTTTGCTTTAGCTTAGACTATAGTATAGCAATTTGTATATATAGTGCGGGGAGCGCTACTCGTACACCCCCTTTTCGCTAGACGTACAACCCCCCTTTCTACTACACATACACCCCCTTCCCCCACCCTGTCACTTCATCACCTTCTGATTGGCTCGGAGCAGCGTGGAGCTTCCTCCCGGGCATTGACTCTCTCTACACGTGATGCTATACGCGAGGCTGTACGTGAGCTCGTACGTGAGGCTATACGTGATGCGGCACGGCTATATAGCCTCTCCGTTTTACGGTGCATTTGTCTTTCAGCCTGGACCCTTACAGACTGGCTGTCCCGAAGCGAGGTAGGAAGGGGTGACGTCAATTAACTTGGAAGTGTTGATTGAGTGATTGAGAGAGTCTCTCCTACGGAAGCTATATATCCACGTATCCTCCCTCCTTCCCGCGTGGCTTGTGCGGGGCATGAGCCGTGACACTGGTGGCTTGGCAGATACATGTATATACAACAAGGGAGGCGCCCCTTCATTGGGTTGACCAAGTGCTAATCAGCAAGTGTCAACCCGGAATTATTGGACATCGTCTCTTTCGCAGCTTGCTTTGCGCAGAAGCGGATCTTCTGCAAGTACTATCTACTTAGGTCCCTGAAAGTGACCTCGTCCTCGTCTGCTCCCCAAGTGTGGGAAAGGATAGCATAGGGCGGGAGGCTGTTGCCTACACGTTCGACAAGGCTAAAGTTGCCGCTTTCTTCAATTTGGCAGTAGTTGCATAAGGTAGGGGATTGTCTAGGAGCTTTACTTAAGGAAGGTATGAGGAAGGACTTGAATTAGACATGTACGGTCCAGAACTAATAGACTGCGACTGGGCTAGTCGGTGGATCCGAGGAAGGGATGCCCCGAGGACGATCAAAAAATGATAGCAGGGCAGGATGTAGTGTAAAGAGGCTGAGCTTCAACAAATCAACATGTGGATGAGTAAGCGTGCTTGAAGTGATCCAACGGCAAATGATATACACTTGACGCTGCCACCGCTAGCAGGGACAGCGGCCGATTCACTCCAGCTGTAGAAGTTTTAAAGGATATGTATTCGTTGGGTGTGGATGAAGGAAGGGTTCGTTGGTGGGCAACGAAGCGCAGCTGATGCGATGTCCGAGGATATGCCCTCGTTCTCTGCGCCTGGGTCATCTTTACGCTCGCTGTTGCCTCTCAAGAATAACATGACCTCCACAAGGTCCGTAACCCACCTCAAACACCTTCGTCTCTGACGACCGGCCTCACAACCAGGTCTGTGTATCCATTAGAACCAGTCGAAGGGCTAGAAGACGGCTCAGAAACGTCCGAAGCAAGGGATAGATTCTGCAATAACGGACTCGAGGGGATAGCCTTCTCGGAGCTAGCAGAAGGCGCACGCGAATGGCTCGGGCTTGACAGCTCCACACGTTGCCATGAACCTGGGCTTCGTTCCCGGAAGAGGAAAGAAGAGTTCAGATTGAGGTGTTGAGTGCCGGGTTCCGTCGACTTCTTTCCTTCAACAAATTTGTGCTCTTTGTGCTGCGTCAGATCTACATCACCTGACTCCTTGACTAGGCTTGTAGAAGCTGAGCCATCAGCGGATGGTGCTGCACGGCAGGTAGATTGCTCAGACGAGGCGGAAGTAGCGGAGTGGGCTAGCGTCCGAATCAGCTTGCGCAGCCGTTGCTGCGGCATTCCTGGGGATGGCGGAAGGCGAATTGCAATATATCTCTTGACCTCCTTTTTAGTTTTATCGACATCTTCTCCCCGTTTCGGGTCTTCTATGCGAGTTTTGCGGGCGGGATTCGGTTCGCTTTACAGCGAACTGAGATCTTTCGGTTTCGGCATCTCCATGGATGATTTGGGAATCCAAGGGATAGGAGGGAGGGGTGTAGTGTCGGGCGCAATCTTGACCCCTAACCGTTTGACAAAGAACTTCTCAAGCTCAGGGCATGCGGGACCGATCTGTCCGACTTGGGGCCCTACATCTAGAATCCGGTTTGTCCAAAGACATGAGGACACTGCGTACCATAGACCGCCTGTGAAAACAAGCTGATGCTTATTGAATTTGCACCTGTGACTGTTAGATTCGTGCGAAATAATCAGATTGATACGCGTACCTGATAGAAGCCCACTCCGCATCCGATTGGATTGTGGCGTCTAAGTATCGATATATATCCCGTACTTGATCGGTTGCTAACTCAAGAGAAGAGGTGCCGCTCCATTTACGCAATGCTTCCAGCTCGTCAAGCACTTCTTCAATTCCACAGTCTTGAATGCCCAGAAACGCGGAGAAGAAGTTTTCGAGATGGGTATGGCCTCTGTACCATTTCTCAAGAGTATTTCGAATTCCAAACCATTCCTCATCGGGGCCTCGCCAAACACAATCTTCGGATGTAACCCAGGAAGCGGTCCTTGGCGTGAGCTCGTTAGTATTATTATCGTAGATAACTTCATTTTGTGCAAAATAGTCCCTTTGTATTTGGTCAGCTCAAGCTTCACAGGCCGTGGTTTGTTCCCCGGAATCTTACCTCAGTTCATTCTGATCCTGCTCATTTAGCTTTTGGGACATTTGCGCGACGCAACCGTAGATATTGATGAGCTGGCCTATGCTGAATAGGAGCTCTGAATTCCGCATCTTCTCAAGAATGAGTTTATAGAATGACATGTCGGCCGTAGTCCCCACTCCAAAATCTTCGAGAAACTCCCAATCTTGGTAGTCTGTGGAATCTAAGGCTACCGGCAGCTTGAGAAACAATTCCGAAATAATACCCTCGACGCCCAGCTCTCTCGTTTTCGTCTTTAGATCATTTGTTGGTAGATACGTATGTCGGAGTTGGCATGTGGTATTAGACTCACACATGACACTGAGGTCTCCTAGCTTGGAGCGTATCCAAGAGTTATTCGAGATCACAGATTCGTACTCGGCTTTCCAATTTGCCTGTAAGAGCCCTACGACATTCTCCGGTCCTCGGCTAGCCATAGCGACAAAAATTGGTGAGAGCTCGGAGGTCGCTTCATTTTCAAACAGCGGAGGGAAGTTCCGGGCTCCTGTAGCCATTGTGAGCCACTCCCTCCAAGACAGACCATGGCAACGTATGTCCGAAGGTACGAATCGGACAAGGGTTTTCGATAGGAATGCGACTCGACCATCCTTTGCAGATGAAGGTCCGGAAATTGCAGAACTGGGGTCCAAAGATGGTATTGTGGTGATGGTCTTCGGGGAACCTGTCTTTAACAGCTGCTGGGCGCAATCATGATCTGATGGGAAATAGAAGCGATCTGACGTTTTCCGCAGGTACCCACCTTCGGTAGGTACAAGCAGCCAAGTCTTGAGTGACTCTGGGCTGGTGTCGAAATGGAACAGGTACCTGAATTGTGCCATCAAATCTTCTTCTTCTGTATTCGAAAAGACTTTGCCTCCAAAGAGAAACCCTGTTCGGCCTATCTCTTCGTGAAATTTTCGGATCGCGTCAAGTACCAATTTCTTTGGGCAGTCCTTCACGCCTAATGCCCTGAATAAAGCCGCTCGTTTCGGCACGGATGCTGCTTGTGCTTCAACGAAACATAGCGATGAAAAGTGGGGAATTGGAACCCCGCTGGTGCTAGGGAAATAAACTTCGCCGTCATTTCTCAACGAATTCCCTGTCGGTTGCGTCGTCGATGAATCTGTTGGTGGCTTAGTCCATCGGGTGAAGCCGAATATACTTCGTACTGGAATGATATCCATTGACTGTAATCTCTGCAGTGTTGCTTCATGTGGCGGTTTAAAGAGTTGGAGCAACATGTTCGCGCAAGATATATGCCAAGCATCATCGGCCGCAAGCGATTTCATCTTGGAATGAGTGTTTTTCAGGTCAGCCTCCAATCTGTTCAATACCGACCGCCGAGATATATTTCTCACTCCAAGGTCCTTGAAAATCGACGCAGCCTTGACTGAATCATATTCTAAGGCGACAAGGTACAGCTCGTCAGGCAGGTCGTCGAGGATAGGAGTGCCCTGGTGAAGGTAATGGAATGGAATGGTATTAACTTCGTAGGGACGCCTGAAAATCCTTCCGTGTTGTGTCTGCAATATGGGCTTGTCCTTCAACAATCCTATAATCTTGCGGTAAAGATCATCCCAGGGGTGTCCGAAGCACTGGTCCGGCAGAGACTTCAACCACGAATATCGTAATGGATGATCTTTCGTCGCGAACTCCGTGATGGCACCTGCAAAGGCATGTGCAATCTCGTCAAGTAGCGTGTTGTTCCAATTGCGATCTGGGCTAACATCGAGGCTGGTTGCGTTACTGAAGTCCGATAGAATGCGTATCTGGACATCACAGATTAGCAAGGTTTGCACACCTCTCACCCTTTGTGCAACTTACTTGTACTTGGGGCAATCTCTGCAACGGGAGCCAGGAGCTGGAGCCGGAAAGGTTTGGCTGTATAGCAGCGGTGTTGATCGGAAACGCAAGTTGGATAACTTTCGGTTGATCTCCGCATGCATGTTGGATCGTGTATTTGAAAACATAATGCTCGCTCGTTTCGGTCGCGAAAGCGGAGAACTTGGAATTTTCAAAGAGATTTATCGCCTTTGATAGAGTGACGATCTCTCCGGCGAGAGTCTTAGATTTCTTGGTCACAACGCTCTCAAGTCGCCCATCGGACTTGTCACAGATGGTGAGCTTGCCAAGATCATGAAGTACGAGCTCTTCACTAGTCTCAGCCATTTTGGCTGGGTATAGCGCGAACACCCGTTGGTGTGATGGGTCTCGAGAAAGGCTTCTAGCGGAATGTGGCTAGTAATGTGATATCGTAGCTTTCGAACCTTAGATGGATCGGAATGAAGGGAGTATCAATACCAATTTCGATGCGATAGATACTGACGAACATTAGTAGATGGAAGGATTTGATGCAACATATTTAGCCGTCCATCTCCCTTTCCCTGCTGCCACCATTGCTGTGCCACAGGAGTACATGACCAGGGGAGTGTTTCGCAAGAACCAATCTAAGCACATCAGCAGACTATCAATAGCAAGTGGTGTCGCAGGCTTCGCCGGTAAGCGCCTACGCTAGGTCAACCCAGGAAGCCCGAACAGTTAGCGTGCTCGAGCTACCACATGGGTGTTAGCGGCCAAAACGCCGTCTAATTGTTTAAGGTAGTACTACTATTAAGCTTTTTCTACTATTGAAATATATAAAACTACTTTATTTAAATTTATAAGTTTAGCTATAGTATTTATAAATTACTATTAGCTTTATATTAGGTATAGTATAAAGGCTTCTATAAAGCTATTACTGTTACAAGTAGCCTCCAAGGCAAAATCCCACAAGCAAGGCTGCCTTGGTAACGCCGGTTACAGGCAGGCCCCGCCAGTCCAGCATAGACCAGGTCAGTCCGGATCAGCCAACATCCGAGAGTGCCGGGCGGTCGCAGGATAAGGGCGTCTCCCCGCCCCCGTAAGGAGGGCAAGCGGTTCGTTCTTTCTCAACAGTAGAACTCCTACCGACTGTTATACTAGCCGGCTCTCTCCTATCGGCCCGCGACTGTAGCTATGCACAGTGGCTGTGCGCCGATAGCGGTTCTGATGGCAAGGGAGCGCCTGATTAGCGCCAACGTGACCAAAATCGCCGAGCCGCACTGTCTCCAGTCACCAGCAGCAGCTTGTCCAAAAATCTTAGGGGGCACTCGCCGGAATGTAACAACGCTCTGATTTGACTTCGGGGACCCCATCTTAGGCAACGCCCGTGTTCGGTAGCGAAGAACGTGGTGATTCTGAGTCGCAATGGCAGACGGTTTCGCGGCTGGCTACCCAAAGACAGTGGTACAACGCAGTAAAATCTCGAAGTGAATGCTAGAATACCTGTCTAATACTTGTGTCAGGCCTTGGGCGGCCTTTTCCTTTGTTTTGCAAGCGACATTCACCTGTAGTCACGAGACGTCACGTGGTTACGTGACGATCAGGAGGGCGCACTAGCAGCTAGCGCCAAACGCGCCAGGAACCTACTTCGAGCGGCTGCGCCCTTGACCTTCTTTCTCTCTTTGTATCACAACTTCTATAGCATAGCAATGCAACCTTTTCTAATTGCTGTTTGCCTATCGAGTCCTCACAACTTGGCTCTCAAGGAATTTCTACTAAATTTTGATTCTGTAACCGGAGAAGAAGAATGCTATCTTTTGTGATGGGGCACATGAAATTTGAGGAAGGTATTATAGTGGAAAGCCTCGAGCATACGTGCAATTTGTCATACATATGTTCCATAGGCTGTGGGCTGTTATAAGATCAGCAAATTGCATCCTTGGGAATTAGTGAGGGCAGAGCTACATACAAGGATTCTACAGATGCAAGGCTGATTGCGAACGATGCCTTTCGGAATGGTTTTCATATTACCCTGGAGTTGCAGAGCAGCGGTATATTTTCGCAGACAATAGGCTCGGACGCACTCCTTCTATTGATATAGAAAGCAACATGTAGAGAGAAGAATTCGAGATGAACTTCGTGTATGCAACCGGGATGCTGAAAAGCTAGTCTGATTCAGAATAGCGTCAGCCCGGCCCTAGCTTCGCCACATCCACATTGTTGCCCCGTCTCCCACTTCATCGCTACTCGCACTCTGACACTTAACAACCCTTACAGACTTTAAATCACCCCGAGTTTTTCTCTCCTACTACAGAGAGAACTTCAGCGACTCGGAATGGACTTCGCCGCTGAGCCACCTCAGGCAAGGCTGACGGCTCTCACACCCCGCTTGTCACCGTCCAAAGCCAATCCAAAGGTCCTGTGGGCCCGAGATAAGTATCATGATAGCCGAGAGCGAAAGGGAGAGTTACTGCAAGTTCTTAAAAAGAGATTGCGTCTAGAGCAGCCCGAAGACTTGCCCGAAGACTTGCCCGAAGACAGGGAGCTGGAGCGCAAGAAACTGCGAGGTAAGGAGCTCATCACTGCGGGCCTCGCGACAGTCGCCACTATCCAAGCAGCTCATGGCGTGCGCTCGTCCATGGTGGCATCAGAAAATCGGCCTAAGCGCAAGAGACTCACGCGTGAGAGTTCATTGCATCTCAATTGGCCCGATAATTCGCTGATCAACAACGACAGGTTCAGGGGACGAAAAAAAAGCACCGAACCTCGGCGAGTATTCCGCATGGATACGATTACTGGAGGATCAACGACACTATCGCTACCGTGATGTGGACAGTCAGATCGAGTACCAGTGGCCTGGGCTAGCCGTATCACGTCCCGAACCCCAATCTCTGTCCATGCCGACTGTTACGGGTCATGCTGCACTTGAACGCGAGCAACCTCGAACCGCAAAGACCAGGCCAGAAGAGAATATTTCAAATCCATCCGAAAGTATAGTGGAACAGTTGAATAGGAGTCGTGCGAGAGCAGCCAAGGAGCCCAACATCTTCGGGCCGGCTATAATCCTCGATGAAGGCCTACGTCCAATACGTCAAAGGGTCAAAAGGCACAAAGCATTTGAATTGGATGATTTTCTTGCGGCTAGCGACGAAGATGAAGACGCGGATTTTATTGCTGGTGGCGATGAAGGCATTTCCGGCCCAAAGCGGAAGAAGCTCAGCTTAAGCGAATACAAGAGGAGGAAGAAGGAAATTGAGCAGGAGGTTCAATCATCAGCAACTCCTCCTACTACATTACCGATAGCCCGACAAGGTGATTCTCCCCACGCCACTTGCTCGGCGTTGTTTGTACGGTATACCATCTCTGAAGACATGACCGCTGGAGACTACTGTGCCAAGCATCGACTGCTTGCCATTGAGGATCGGGATGCAGGCCAGAAACTCCATACAATCGAGCGATACCGAAAGTCATCCATATGGCCCATACGATAGCAGTCCATACTTTGGTACTCCATTTACCTCTCAGAAGCATGAGGACTCGTACGGTGTCACTCCACGGCCCAGCCAGCCACCATCCTCGGAGCCTCCTTTTCAAAATCTTTCGGGACTAAGCGAGAGGCGAAGCTACGGGTTCCTCTAGCCGAGCCCACCCCCACCGGGCCGCGATGTCACAGCTGCAACCGCGCTGAAACACCGGAATGGCGGCGCGGACCAGATGGACCGAGAACGTTTGCAAGTCCTGTGGCCTACGTGAGTTGATATTTGTCACTTCAGAAATGATTCACTAACACTTAGGCAGACTACGCTAAGCTAACTTGCAAGAGGGTGGCACAGCCGCACGCGGCCACTTTCTAACGCTCTCTAGTTCCACATACCACCACCTATTCAAGCCCGACGCCCCCGACCAAGAGGTCATCCGGGCCGAGACGGAGCGCTTCGTGCAGTACACCTCAAAGGAAGAGTACATAACGATGCCGCTCCAGCAAGCTTGTCAGAGAAATATTGACATGAAATTGCAGAGGAACATCATCAGCCTGCAGCAGACGATCATGGGCGATGGTAACCTTCACATACCCAGGCCAAATGCTACTATGACCTAACCATGCATAGCCTAGTTCCCACACATCTCCAAGCCGAGACATGTCACAAGCCAGATAGTATCACTTGCGAGAATCGGGGAGGGCAGCGGATGGTGGGAATTCCATGCATGGGTGGTTGAATCGCTTATGGTTGCTTCGGACTGGATTTATACGTTCCCAAATTAGCAGAGTAATGGTATGTATCCTATTAACGTAGTCGGCAAGCTAGTGGGCCATGCAAGCTAGTGGGCCACCCAATTATTGGTGCGATTTAGACCTTTTAGCACCCTAGCAATCTTAACAATCACAGAATATTCCAGGTTATGACTTAGGATAATGATATCCGTGGTTATTTTAATGTCATCTGTTAATTTTTTAGATCTCTTGATAGCCCTGTTTAGCCGCAGTAAAATGTTGCCTAGTTTTGGCCCCTAAAATCAAGTAATACCTACAATATAATAGGATTACGCTGCTATACTGCTCCAAACATTCTCTTAGCTATTAAAATGAGCTAGATAGTATATGCAATCTTAAAGCTATACTTTATATCTTGTAGTTGTTGAGATTGCTGGGGTGCTAAAAGGTCTAAATCGCACCAAAAATTGGGTGGCCCACTAGCTTGCATGGCCCACTAGCTTGCCGACTACGTTATGGTGAAACTGCTAGTTTATATAATGTTAGATATGGGACTCAATAACGTATTCCACAAGCGAGCCGTCCACCCAAGCGAGCCGTCCAC